GCTTGGTTGATAGGAATTAAGATACACTATATAACTGTCACTTTAGGGATCTCTGCTTCAAGTTCTTTGTTTCCAGTTCTTTTGGGGGTTGTTTTCATGGTGAATAATTTTTTATGCTTCATAAGAAGTATTGTGGAATAGTGAAGAAGTGTGAGTTTAAAAATCATAAAAGCCAGTATTCACATTTGGCAAGTTTTTTTTAAACCCTGGCGTTACCTGTAAAAGATGGTAACTATATGATTAAATTAGATAGTGTGTGTAAAATAGCACAATATGGGGCCAGGGATATAGCTCAGCAGCACAGCACCTGCCTGGCAGGCATGAAGTCATGAGTTCGATTCCACTTACCAAATAAATAAATAAATGAGTAAAATAAAATAAAATAGCGCAATATGTATGTAGCACATATTTGCAATCAAGGGAAGGTAGTTTTGTCTGGAAAATTAGTAGGAGGCCTATTTTCCATCTTATAAAGAAATTTTTGAACAGGAAAAACAGTGTGTGTGTATATGTGTATATATATCTATAGATATATCTATATTATATGTGTGTGTATATCTATATCTATATCTATATCTATATATTTGAGACAGGGTTTCACTGTGAATTTCGGGCTGCCTTTGAACTCACTTTGTAGCTGTGGCTGGCCTTGAACTCACAGTGCTCCTCCTGCCTCAGCCTCCCAAGTGCTGAGATTACAGTGTGAGCCACCATGCCCGGCTTTGTTTGTATATATTGATAGGAGATTTAAATACTTACAGAATTTGAAAATAAAAGTGATGAATACACTGAATGACTAGAAAACTTTTCTAGTATACTGAAGATTCATTTGTGAGTAGTGTTTATGTTTACAAGGTAAACTTCAACCAAATCATGATCTAACCAAAATTAAGGTATTATGTAAGACCAGATCAGTACTAATCTATGTCTGTATTAAAAAGATGATGGAGAGGAGCAGGAAAAAAAATGTGTGGCAGTTGGTAAAACAGCTCAATCTCACCTTTCCTAGGAAGAAGTCAATATAGTGTGAAAAACTGAAAAGAAATAGCGATATTAACTTTTTAAAAAGAGATACAGAAGTAAAAAAACAAAAATCAGTGAAGGAAATGAAAATAGTTGTCCCTCTTCTGAGAGTGGGAGGTGGCAATGGCAAGTGTTAAGGAGAAGCAGAAACTACCTTTTTTTTTTTGAAATACAACTTAAGGGACTCTTACTCTTTGAACTGTACATATATGACCTTGGTACAAATAATAACTAGGTAAATATGTCTTAGTTACTTTCTTGTGGCTGAGGCAAATACCAAAAAACTGCAGCTTAAGGGAAGAGAGATTCATTTTGACTTGTGGTTACAGTCACTGTTTGGCTGGCTCCTAAGGAGAAAACGGCAGGGTAGGAGGGGCTGGTTGGAAAACTGCTAATCATAGGGCAGCCAAGAAGCAGAGGGAGAAAGGAGCTGGGGAAGGGTATATGCCCTTCAAAGTCACAACCCCAGTGACCTGCCTCTTTCAGGCGCACCTCATCTCCTGACATCACATTCAGCAACAGGACCCCATGATCCACTCATCTTCCAGAAGCCCCCCACGTCTGAGCACATGAGAGCTTTGGGAGGTCATTCTTGATATGAGCCATAACATAATGTGACTGTTGATTATCCCAAAATGCATGTATCTATAATATGCCAGAGAGAATGAGGAGAGGAATTGTGTATTAAATTATAGCATCTGATATATCTTATAGTTGGCCCAGACAGTTGATTGATAAGAGTGAGCATATAGTGCTAGTAATGGGGAAGATTTATAACAAAGGATACAAAGCAGAATCAGCAAAGGGCAGAGGTGTAATGGATGAAGTTCAGAAGAAACCAAGTACAAGATTCTGAGTCTTCTGCCATTGGACACCCTTAGGAATGCTTAATTCCTCAGCAGAGAGTTGTGGTAGACCATGTGAAGTATCTGCCAGAGAAGCTTGTTAGGGACTCAGTGTCTGGTTTTCTTCAGGGCTGGCTAACTAAGCACCTCTGCCCAGCTGTGTCAGACTCCCAAAAGACAAGGTGTTCAGCATAAATCACACAGTTATACAAACAGTTTAGACACATTAAGTCACTCTCGTTGCTTGGAGAACATTTTATATTAGTATAGGGAACTGTTAATCAGATGTCGGCCAAGGAACATCCTTGCAGATAGGCTTTTCAAAAGGTAGCAGCCTCATTCTTAAATTAACTCATTTCTGCGTACTGCCCTTTCCTGTGAAGTTCCATGCTAAAGATATTAACCTCTGTTTTGTCATTTTCTTTTTGGCTTTGTCTTTTTTTTTTTCTTGCCAATTGTACTTGTGTTAAACAAGGCAGGAATAAGAGGAAAAACAGTTTCTCAGATCTCCTGAATAGCAACAAAGAGAGCAGGAGGAGTAACATACATTTCAGTTGCAGTTTTTGAGAATGATGGGAAATAGCAGTCAGAAAAATGAGCATCTGTTAGCAAAGCCCTCCCTCCCTTTCAGGTATTTATCCTTCCTATATCAGACATACTGTTTGCTTTGAAATGGGCTGAGGTTTTTCATGCACAGAATATGGATGTTTCTATCTCTTCAGATATTGCATTACAGTCTTATGCTTTATGTAAGCCACTGGAAATGTTCCTGCTCCATACACTGACGATTGCTTCTAGGTACCAGGCAACGGAGTTAGAGCTGAGGCTGTATCAGCACATGCTATGGCTACTTTTGTATTTTATCCTTGAAAATTGGTAAGAAATTACGCTGTGAATTGTAGAAGCAAGTTTCTGTGAAGCATTGCAGGCAGTAATATGTGGCTGGATCTCTATGAGAATGTGATTTTTCTGTTTTGGAATGACCCAAAAAATTTAAATGACTTTATTCTCACTTTATTTCACAAATAACTCAATTCTTGCTTCAGTTTATATTTTTAAAGCTAGGTGTAATGTGTGATTTGTAGGCTGGCAGATTGTAAGACCCAATATTGCAAAATGTTACCATGAGTAATTTTCTCAAAAAAAAATTACTGAAGAAATAAATGTGATTAACTTTTAATTACTTGAAGTATGACTATGTTAGTCTGTGGCTTTATTCTCTCAGCAAATTTCAGTTTTTCTCTTGTGTACAACTGTATAGGATTACAGTTCCCTCTTCCAAAAAAAAAGTTGATGAGGTGTAAATGTTTTCTTTCAGTAAAATCCATTCTCAAGTCAAATGAATGTTGAATTGTCTTCTGGTTGATTGGGTTTCCCCCCGATGATAATGGGGATTGAACCCAGGGCTTCATACTTGCCAGGCTACCACTGAGTTGTATCGCTAGCCCTGGTTTATAATTTTTATGAAATGAAGGATATGTACACTTGTTTAAAAGATTGAGAGTTGGCTATTGTGCTCTGTAAGAGACAACTTTATCAGATTATTTAGAGCACTCTTTCCATTTAAGCTACATTCATTGAATCACTTGAAATTGACAAAATTTTTCACTATGTGATACATTCACATGTTTAAAAATTTTTAAAGATACACATAGAGAAATCTTACTGCCACTCTTACAGAGTATCTGGATGTACTATAGTTTATCTGTCTAGTCTCCTATCCCTGAGCACTTGCTAGTTTATTTTTCATTACTAAAAAACAATGTTGCTGTGAGCAGATACATTATTTCATATGTGTGCAATTATAGAAAAATTCTCAGAAAGGACAGTTGAATCCAGTATGTTAAATAACTGACTTTTGTAAATAGTTTTTCCTTTTGTGGGGGCAGGTTAGAACAGGAAATTGAATCCAGTGCTTCCCACATGCTAGGCAAATGTTATACCACTCAGCTACATCCTCTGCACTGAGTTTTATAGATCTTGTAATAACATTTCATTTATCTCCCAACAACGTGTGAGAAAATCACTTGCCTTTATATAGCAATGTTTGGGAAACTTTCTAAACCTCTATAGATGAAGGAAATTGAAGCAGAGTTTTGCAAAATCACTTAATTGGTATGACTCTGTGATAGTTAAGCCTGATTATGTCATCCTGATTGGCTTAGGAGCCATTGAGGGTATCAGTAAAGCCTGTTTCTGGGTGTGTCTGAGTGGGTCATAGAGGCCTGACATCTTTGGTTTGTGGACCTTTCTTCTGTGGTACTGTGCCTCTGCCTTGCTTCCTGGCCACCTTGAACAGAACTGATCATCATTGCTCTGCCACACCTCTCTGCCATGATGTTTCTCCCTTGCAGCCAACTGACCATGGACTGAATCATTTGAAACTGTGAGCCAAATTGAATCTCTCCTTTTTTTAAAGTGTGGATAATGGGTATTGTGCCTCAGCCACAGGAAACCCATTTAATAAAGACTGAATCAAAGACTTAGTTTCTAATTGAAAACTTAGTGTTGTTTTCAACAGATTATACTGAATTTGCTGTCTTTAACACATGTTGATAAAATGTAAAAGTTGTAAAGTATTAAAGGAGACCTTCCTTGTTTTGTTAGTATCCATAAATTTCTATGTCTGTATTATCTGAGTTTGTGTTCCACAGTGAAAGGCTTAACATGGAATTCTTTTCTGTATGCACATTTGGGTAAAATGGGGATGGGATTTGTGAGTTCATAGTTACATTCCTGTTCTGGGCTTGGAGATTTTGACGCTTCTGATGGAGACTGGTAACTTCATATGAGTACCATCTGATTGTAGTGACCCAATCTCCTTCAACCTCATTTTTATTTTGTCTTGTAGCTCTCCAGCATCAGAAGATAATGAATAAATGCTGCTGGGTGTGATGGCGCATGCCTGTAATCCCAGCACTTGGGAGGCTGAGACAGGAGGATCGCCACAAGTTTGAGGCCAGCCTGTGCTACGTAGTGAGTTCAAGGCCAGCCTGAACTACATAGCGAGACCCTGTCTCAAAAACAAAAAGGAATAAATGCTATGTGTAGTTGTGGATGCTCTCAAAAAATAGCTCACTTTCCATAAGATGCTACGTTTCATGATGTACAGCTTTTCTGTTTGTTTTACAGTGGAAGATTGATGATAAGCCTGTAAAAATTGACAAATGGGATGGATCTGCTGTGAAAAACTCTTTGGATGATTCTGCCAAAAAGGTAATTTCTTGAGTAGTCCATGAGCATGTTACACAGATGATAGATTGTCTTCCTGGGGATCGTTCTTTTCTGTTACTATCTATACTTGGAGTGACTTTAGCTAGACAGAAACTTCTAAAATTCTCTCAGAATAAGTAGGGGGAAGTGTGTTAAAATACAAATGTAGGCTACCTCAAAAAAGTTGAGATTAAGTAGCTTAAAGCACAAAAAGTTAGGATATTCATCCATGATTAGTTGTCTCTTCATTTGAAATGGAAAAAGAAAATTTTAGCTATATCCTATAGGAAGAGTTGAGGATTTAAAAAAATTTCATATAAGGAGTTGATTAAATATTTCTCTGAGGGCCAGGAATATAGCTCAGTGGCACAGCACCTGCCCAGCAAGTGCAAGGCCCTGAATTCTATTCCCAGTACCAAGAATAATAATAATATTTTCTCTGAGCTCCTTTATTAATAGCTTGAGTCTTTGCTTAAAGTCATAGAATACCACCTGGCGAGAAATATTTATTCACTTACGTAATTTTTGACATAACTTTTTGTCATAGAAACCAAGGTTACACCAGGCATGGTGGCGCATGCCTGTAATCCCAGCACTCAGGAGGTTGAGGCAAGAGGATCATTGCAAGTTTGAGACTAGCCTGGGCTACAAAGTGAGCCTAAGACTAGCTTGAACTACATAGTGAGATCCTGTCTCAAAAACACCAAAAAAAAACATCAAGGCTACAAGGAGGTATAGGAAGGAAGCATTCCTCTTAGCTTGATTCCTTGTTCTTCTCTCTAGGTACTTCTGGAAAAGTACAAATATGTGGAAAATTTTGGTCTAATCGACGGTCGCCTCACCATCTGTACCATCTCCTGTTTCTTTGCCATAGTGGCTTTAATTTGGGATTATATGCACCCCTTTCCAGAGTCTAAGCCAGTTCTAGCTTTGTGTGTCATATCATATCCTTTACGCTTAGTTTTTCTCCTACTTTTTTGAAATTTCTGCTAATACTTCTTCCCACAAAACTTTCATTTTTAGGGCCTGTTGCCATTAGACTTTAACATTATGAGCTATAGGCATCTAAATTCATGTAGTGCCATTGATATTTTAGGTTTAATATTTTTTAAATCTGTAATTCACCTTAGTTATTGTAGAGGCTATTAGAATATGAGCACTAATAACAAAACATAATATTGTTGAGACCTGGCCCTCCTCACTTTTAGCCCAGAACTTTTCCCATTTGACCAGCCTGCTTGAAGCCACTCATTCCAGGATATTAGCAAAGCATTGGATTTTGAAGATTCAGATCTGTGTCCAGCTTCCTTGAAGCTGAGGAGCTGGCCTCAAAATACTGAGTGTAAGTTGTGAGTTTGGCTTGTGTTATGGTAAAGTAAAGAACCTTTGCTAGAGCTATAGAACATGAGTTTGAAATCCAAGATATTTGTGACCTTATGCCAACTTTTTTGAGATTCTCGGAATATAAATACTGGTAATACACATTCAGAATTACCGTAGAGATTAAATAAATTTGATATGTAATACAATTCCCAATTTAAAATGTTTCAACTTAAGATTTTCCAACTTCTTGATGGTATGAAAGTGTTCTTCACTTTTAGTGTTCAATAAATTACATGAGATATTCAGCACATTATTATAAAATAGGTTTTGTGTTAGCTGAGTTTGCCCAGCTGAAAGCTAATGTACATGTTCTGACACATTCAGGTTTGGCTAGGCTAAACTGTGATGGTTGATAGGTTAGGCATATTGATGAATTTCCACTAAATTTGTAATCCTGTTGCAAGTTGGAAATTTCCCCTTCTTTTTACAGTAAGCATAGAATTATGGTTTTCATTTAACCAAGCTTGGTTATTTCTGAAAAGGCTGAATACAAAAAAATTTACATTATTAGTCTTAATATAAAAAGTAACAGGTTTTTTGTGACTAGTTCATTTGTACATACTATATACTTTGTCTGTACATTCTGCTGTGCCCTTTATTTTTAACTCAGCAAATGTAATGGATATCTTTCCATACTAGTACATACATCCCTACCTCATTTGTAATAGTTACATCTCGCTAGTGAATGTCTACCGTGTGACAGCACTGGTAAGAGTCATTTAAAACAAATCATTAAACAGTGTAGCCATAAGAAATTCTACCTGTAGAGGCAATTAGCAAGCCATTTAATAAAGCAGATCCTGATCAAAAATAGTACTATACAAAGTGATGCCAAGTCATAGTCCCGAGAATTGATACCAAGTAATCTTTGACTCTTTTAAGTTACCACATTAATCTTCTCAATATGAAATTTTCACTATTAAGGCAATTCGAAAGGATATGCCATAGGTTGAGGAGATGGTTCCCAAAGGAATTCCAAAGAGATTTGAACAGTGACAGCAGAGCATTATCACAAACCTATGGTCTCCCAGGAGAACTACTTTGATATTACTTTGGTTATATTTTTTTAAAACAAAGTAAGATCTCATAATCACACCAGTTTTATATATAATAGTAGTGACTGCCATTATAAATGACTTCTTTATGCTGGACACTATATGTAAGCTTCATAACAATTCTTTTTTTTTTTTTTTTTTTGGTTTTTCTCCGGTACCGGGAACCGAACTCACAACCTTGCGCTTGCCAGGCAGGCGCTTTTGCCGCTGAGCTAGATCCTCAGCCCCTTAAGCTTCATAACAATTCTAAAACATCCATATTACCCCCATTAGAGGTGAGGGTACTTGTGGAAGAAAGTAATCTGTCACAGTTACAGTGATTAAAGGCCAACATTTAAATCTAGGACGTAACTCACTCTAAAGTCCAGTGGCTTGTACTGTGCTTCCCAGTCTCTGTGCTTAATAAAATTTAAATGACAGTGTACATAAAACTCCCAGGTCAGTTTCTGGCTCAGATATGGTAGTTAGGACTGTCAAAATCTATTCTTACATCTGGTAATCTGAGCACCTTCCTTGAAGATAACAATATGTAATGTAACAACCACTGTTAATCTCTATCATTTGGTTTGAGACGCTGTATCATTTTTAATGTCCTTGCTTTGTGTTGTTTGTATTTTGTTATTGTTCCTTTTTTTGGTAGTATTTTCTTGAAAATTTAAAAAAAATGTAACTTATCTATACTAATATAGGAAGTACTTGATCTTATAGAAAACTATTTTGAAGTCAGTTTTCTTCTAGTGACCCTTGAAATCGGTTGCATGTGGTCAAGCCCACTGTAATTACTGTGGTTTTTAGTGGAGAAATTATCACAAGTTATAACAAAAACTTGACAAAGTAGTAATAGGATCTTCTGTCTGTTGTCTTTGAACATGAAAAATGAGAGCTGGCTTGTGCATGTGTCTTTTTTCTTCCTTTTAGAGATGTTTGAAGAATTAACCAGAGACATCCTTGCTTCTCTTGGTGTGTATGCATAAAGATGAAAGTGAAATAGCTAAATTTCTAGTGTTTTTGTAGGAGTAGAAAACTGTTTTCTTTTTAGGATTGTCATGAAATCTTTATTACATTAAGCTTTATTAAAAAGCTTTATTATGAAAGCTTTTCATGGTTCTTATTTATCAGTTTGTTACATTTCTTTTGTTTGCATGTTTGTGTGTTTTTTCACCTTAACTTTATTTGCACCTATTTTGTGATGATGGGGATTCTGACCATTTATACCTCATATAAGGAGAAGAGCATCTTTCTTGTGGCTCACAGGAAAGATCCTACAGGGATGGATCCCGATGATATTTGGCAGCTGTCCTCCAGTCTCAAAAGGTAATGATTGTTCTTCCAGATTCTTAAATCTTGATGTTGGATTTGCCTGGTGGGTGGTTATTATTAACAGCAGACTATTGTGAGCATATTTTGTGCTGATTACAGTGTGTTAGTCATGTAAAATGAAGAAAAGGGGAATTACTTAAAAGGATTATCCTAGTGCTATAGTTATGAGATTGCATTGTCACAGAAATGCTCTGAGGAAAAACTTTGAGAGAAAGTAGTACTTTGGTGGAAGAATGAAGAATGACTCCTCTTTTTTGGGCTAATTCTATGGAAAATCAAAGGTAAACTTTTTTTTAGCAAATCCTGGAGTGGTGTGGGTCTATTGGATCTTCCGTTGATGCTCAGGTAAACATATGCAAAACCAGTTAGATGGAGCATAACATGGGTAAAAATCATCTTTTGCACACATGCATACACCCTGCTGTTCATCAGACCAAGTGGGTGAACACGTAAATTGCTTCCTGTATCCCCCAGGCAAAGGTACTGAGACACACACTTGGCTACTATTATGCTAAAGTACAAATTTACAGAAGAAAAGTAAGGGGTAGGCCCACTGGGCCCAGTGTTGTGCTCCTTAAGGAATCTCTGGAGTTCATGTAATAAAGCTATGGGTATTGGGTTGGGGAACTGATTGGAACCTGGGACTCAATTGTTTACAGAAATTAAGGGCTAAAGCAGCCAACAGTTTGGAGAGCCTCCTTGAAAGCAGTCGTTCTTCATTCATAAAATTGTGATTGCCTGTTAAGTGCCAACCTAAGATTAGAAAACAAGACAAAGATCCTTACTCTCAAGAACCCCATAGTCTAGTGAAGAGCACATACACAAATAGACTTCAATAATATTTCATTGCTAGCATGGGAACCTACCAGTAAACCTGGCATGTAATAGATATCCAGTATTTGATTTGAATATTGATTGATGGTGCTGTGGAAGACAAAGGAGACAACATGTGACCCAGACTGGGAGGGCATTCCCAGGAAAATTTTATGCAGTCTTAACAAATAAGAACTAGTCAGCTGCAATAGGAAAGAAGAGGCTGCTAGGAAGATTCTGCTAACATGACCAGTGCTAAGTCTAGAGGTAAGAGAAGATGGTTTATATGGCTGACAAGTGAGAGAGGTATGCTGTAATTAAAGGAGGAAAAACATGTCAGCACTGAAGAATCAGAATTGTTAATCTCAAAGGCAGTTAGAACCGTGGGTGGTTGTTTTTCAAAAAAAAAAGTTCTTGTTCCTTATATCGCCAGTGCCAAGCTAATACCAGTCCTTTGAAAATACTTTGTGCTGTATTGTTACTGGTTGAATCTCTGTTGGTTTTTGATTTGTTATCTCTAACCTGTTGCTTAGGTTTGATGACAAATACACCCTGAAGCTGACTTTCATCAGTGGGAGAACAAAGCAGCAGCGGGAAGCCGAGTTCACCAAGTCCATTGCTAAATTTTTTGACCATAGTGGGACACTGGTCATGGATGCATATGAACCTGAGATATCCAGGCTCCACGACAGTCTTGCTACAGAGAGAAAAACAAAGTAGCTAATTCTAAAAGCAGCCTTCTTTGTGCTGGATCTTGCTGAATTACTGGGTGGGTAGGGTGAAGAAACAGAGTTTAAAATGGGTAAAGAAAGAATTGTTAAAAATGTCCTTGTTTTGTCTTGACATTTTAGTCGACTCTGGATAAATAGGATTTTCCAGCACAGATATGAGAAGTTGTAGTTCTGATGTCTAGCTGTAGCTTCCCTAGTCTGCTGATTGTGTTGTTTTGATTTGCTTTTCTAGAAAGGCATTTTTGGTGGAAGCTATCTAGAATTTTTCTTTCACACCTAGTACTACTTTACATAGTATAGCTTTGTGCCATGCAACATTTGAAGACTCAATTTTTTAAAATTGTTAACCAGTTGCTAACTTTGTGTTAATTCCTGTTTCAACAACTGTTTCCCTAAAGAATTCAGGGTACAACTTGTGTATGACAGCTTTCTGTTAACACCATTTCTGTGGGTGTGTATATGTCTGACTTGGGGAAAATTTTTTTAAAAAGCTTTTCAATTTGTTTAAAACAGATTTGCCTGTCACATTTTGTGCATTTAATCAATTAAAGAAACCAGTGGCATTTTTAATTTTATATTGTCTGTGTTTTCCACTAGTATATCCCTGTTGATTTGTTTGTGTCTTTTATTAACTACCATTTTCTAATCATGTTTTTTAATAAAAGGAAAGAAGATGTGAAAAAATGGAATCATAGTGTTGATGGAATGAAGAGAGCAGCAAGTGCTAACAGTTACACTATTACCATAGGTTTCTTTAGTGTCTAGGCTGCTTCACTATTCAGAGGCCCCTGAGAATCTTAGCTAAGTACCTCATAATAATACTCAGTGCTTTCTACTCCGTACTTTACATATATTAACTCATCAACTCTAAGAGGTAGGTGCTGCAGTTATCCCCATTTTACAGATGAGAAAGCTGAGACACAAAGGTTGAATAACCTGCTGCAGAGCTAATGCTAGAACAGAGATGTTAACTCAAGAGTCTTATGTTCTTACAGACAACACAGTGGCACCTTTTCTAGTATTTTCCCAACCTGGTAAGAGAAGAACTAGGTACTTACCCAGATCCTGTCACCTTTAGAAATATTGTCTCCAGTCCTACAAAAGTACAGTTCCAGCTGAGGATATTATCTAAAACTATTCAGCTTATAAAAAGTTACCCTTACACCATTTTCCTGTTGGACTGGGGAATGGTGCCTTGTCTAGCATCACCTGGTAGAAGATTGTCAACACTAGACTACAGATTATAACCTTGGATTCAGTACTGTACCTTCACTTCTATAATCCTTGGAGAAGTCATGGAATTCTCTGAGCTTCTGAGTTTGCTTTTTTAGAATTATTAAGGTGATAATTCTAATCCTGTGAACTCAAAACTTTTGAAAGTGTCTAATCAGGTAAGTATACTTTTACATTAGAAGAGTTACTGTTGGACACAAGTTTCAAGGCTTGTGGCTATAGACAGTGAATAACCCTCTCCATTATGACTGCTTGGAGTTCTTTGATACCTACTGTACCTTTCTCTTTACATTTCCAAACTTTTTAAAAATAAAAATTCCAATTTGCTGTATGTCCTGTAATTTTTTTTTCTTTTCTTTTTTTCATTTAAGATGAGGATTTCACCATGTTGTCAGGCTAGTTTTGAACTCATACTCTGAAGTGATCCTCCTTCCTCAGCCCACACAGTAGTCAGGGCTATCAGCACACTTAGTGCCAGCCTTGTAATTTGTTTTTAAAACATTTCCTAGATTCTTTCCCTGTCTGTATACATAAAATCATTTTAATAGCTGCATAATATTCCATAGTATAAATTTTTTATTTTAGCTTTTTCTTCCTGATAATAAATTGATACTTCCCCCCAAATTTTCAATATCCCAAGAAGGATTGTGATTAGGAAAAAGGTGGGAATAGGTTCTCCAGTGAGTGACAAGAAACCTGGAGTGATTTTTAGCTTTATTCTAATTTATGTTGGGCAAATCCCTTTTCTTTTCTAGGGCAAAAGTCTTGAGGTTTCAGAGAATATATCCTTTGAGATTATGATGACTCCCTATGTCCCAGAAACTTTATTATGGAAAATATGAGTGCCAAAATCCCTAAAATCGGCTCATAATCCCACTTGGAGACTTTTTGAACTGTATGGATCTCTTAAGGTTTTTCCCTGATGCCAAAAACCATTTTAAACAGTTGAAAAAATCAGTTAGCTGCCCACCCACTTGCTGCAGTTGGTATATCTGCCCTACATGCCCTTTGCAGTGGTAATATTTAGGACAGTTTTGTTATCACTATTTCCTGTGGGCTCAAGCTTCATGACGCACACTTTAGGACTGCAAAATTGATGTGTCTGGGTGGGCCCATGTATTACAGAGTAGTCTGAAAGTGCTGGTATTAAATCCAACAGACTGCTTGACATTTTCCATCCACCCCAACTCCCTGCATCACCACAAAACTCGTTCGGTTGGCATTTGTTTTCTACTATGTGAGCAAGGATTTGGCTCCACTGCGACAGTTGCCACATCCTGGAGTGTATAGACAGAGGGGCCTTTGGAGAAGGGGGCACCTCACAAACCCACAGATTGTAAATCTAGGCAGAGAAAATCCAATGAAACTAGAAATTTGGCAAACCACAAAAAATATGCAAGCACATGGAAATTAAACCATACCCTCTTGAATAATCCGTGGGTTCCAAAAAAAGTCAAAGAAGAAATTAGAAAAGTCCTAGAATCAAACAATAAGGGAAACAAAGCAGTCTGAAGAGCAAGCTTTATAGCTTTGAATACCCTCATCAGGAAAACAGGCAGTCCAAATAAGTAACTTGATGCACTTCAAGGTCCTATAAAAAAAATCCAAGTCCAAAACTAGAAAGAAATACAAAGAATAGAGCAGATTTGTGACAAAATCAAACAGCATGGTACTGGGGGAGAAGAAAAAAACCAGAACTGAGGATCAAGGGAAAAGATGAAAAGATGTAGAAACAACTTCAAACACACTCAACCACCATTTCTTTAATAAAGGAGCCAAATACCTTCATTGGAAGAAAAATAGCCTCTTTAATAAATGGTGCTGGAAAAAACTGGCTTTCCACATCCTGAAAATTAAAACTAGACCTGTATCTTTCACCATGCATTAAACTAAAATCAAAATGGGTTAACGATCTAAATATTAAGACAAAAACACTAAATCTGCTGCAGAGAGAATAGGTAGAACTCGAAGACATTGGTATAGGCGGAGACTTCACGAACAAAACCCTAGTTGCACAAGAAATCACAGTCGCCAACTGGGATCTCACCTTATTAAAAAGCTTTTGCATATAAGAGAGACTACCAAGAGAGTGAAGAGACAATGTGAAAAATTTTTCCAGATGATCCTTAGACAAAAGACTATATAATATAATATATAAATATATAAAGAACAAAAAATACATATAATACATAAAGAACAAAAAAAAAGACCCCCCCCAAAGTTAAAGACCCAACATTTCTCAGATGAAGAAGTAGAAATGGCAAATATATATATATAAAAGTTCAACATCACTGGTCATTTCAGAAAAGCAAATTAAAACAACACAGATTCCATCTCACTTTAGAAAGAATGGCTATCATCAAGAACTCAATAGCATGCTGGCAAGACTCTGGGGAGAAAGGAACCCTTCTTCACTGTCAATGGGGGTGTAGACTGGTGCAACCACTGTGGAAATCAGTATGGAGATGCCTCAGAAAACTAGGACTAGACTAGAGGTTCCATTCTACCCAGCTATTCCCCTTTTTTGTATCTTCTTGAAAGAATTAAGAGAATTAAAAGCATTATACCACAGTGATATATATACACCCATGTTTATAGCAGCATGTCTGTAATAGCTAAATTTTGAAAACAGCCCAAATGCCCATCAACTGATGAATGGATAATAATGTGTGTATGTGTTTTTTAATACACAATGGAGGGGCTGGAGATTCAGCTCAGTGGCACAGTGCCTGCCTAGCAAGCGCAAGGTAGTGAGTTCGATTCCCGGTACTGGAAAAAAAAAATACACAATGGAGTACTACTCTGCTACAAAGAAAAATAAGCTTGAGACATTTCTGGCTAAATGAATGTATCTTGTTACCATACTCTTTAAATGAAATAAATCTGACACATTTAAATACTGCACTGTTTCTCTGGTGTGAGAAACTGAAAGTGTAAATAAGGACCAAAATGTATAATAGACATTGGGAAATGGGGAAAAATGTTCAAATGAGAAGGGGAACAGGGAGGGGATAGGGGAAAGGTAAGATGGAACAAAAAAAAGAAGAAAAAAAATGGAAACAGCTTTTGCAAATGGGGGGGAGAGGGATTGGAGGAGGGGAGGGGAATGGGAAAAAAGAAGCAAGATATATCATGTACAAATTCCCTGTGATAAATGTTATTCTTATGAATATCTAAAATGTACAAATAAAATAAAAACTTTTTCTTAAAAAAAAAAAAAGATATTACAGAGAATAAAAGCAATACTACACTGAGTTTGGTCTGTGAATCTTTGCTGATCCCTAATATAGAAAGACTATATGTAAGGAACATATAATGACATGTGTATCAGGATGTCTATTGCATTATTACAGTTGTACCTGATACAATATAAACATCCACCATTAGTTTAGTAGTGGAATGGGAGGGTTGAGAAATTGTGGTATGTTTATTCTACAGACGTAATGCAAATCTTCAAAAGAGTCAGTGAGGGGTGGGCCTCCTGACTTGGACAAGTATATATAAGATATTAAGCACACAAAGCAATCTGTAGAACAGCACAACCGATATACACACCTGTGCACACCATAGCCCTGGGGGACCCCGCTGTTGCGGAAGGCACTTCTCTATCCCTCTGATGGTGAGCCCAACTATGTGACTTGCTCTGACCATGGAATGTTAGCAAGTGTGAGCAGAGCCCATCTCTGTACTTGCAAAGTTTGTGTTTTGGTTTTGGCATTTTGGTACTGAGGATTGAACACAGGGTCTTGTGTACGCATGCTAACTCCAACTCTCTACCACTAGAGCTTACACAGTTCCCCTTGGTTTCTGAACTCCCGGAGGCACATTGAGAAGAACATGCCCCAAGTAGCCACTAGAGTAAGGAGAATGAGGAGCAAGAGAGGTAGGCCCAGCCCAGGCCCTGCAGAAAGGCCTAACCTGTACCTGCAGACCTAGGAGCTCAAGAGAAAAGCCCTTGGCCAGGCATGGTGGTACACACCTATAATCCCAGTGCTTGAGAGGCTGAGGCAAGAGGATCAAGATAAGTTCCAGGCCAGTCTGGCCTACATATTGAGACCCTGTCACCCTGCCTCCTCCCAAAAAGAATAAAGGCTTAGGTCCATTTTTTGCTGCTATAACAGAAAAAAAAGTTAAAGTCATCATATTACAGTGATACATACCTACTCATGTTTATACCAGCACAATTCATAATAGCTAAATCTTGGAAGCAGCCTATATGTCCAGCAACAGATGAAGGATAAAGAAAATGTGATATTTATACATACTGGAGTACTACTCTGCCATGAAGTAGAATAAACTTGAATCATTTATAGGAAAATGGATGCACCTTGAGACAATAATGTTAAGTGAAATAAATCAGACCCACAAGCTTAACTATCACAATTTCTCTTATATGAGAAACTCAAAATACAAAGTGCAAAATGAAAGATAACAGGAAACAAGGAGATTAGTCTTTTGCAAAAGTGAAGGGGACAAATATATTGAGGGAAGAGGAAGGGAGGGGATGGGAAAGGGATGAAAAAAAAAAGAATTAAGACATATTATGCACCTGTATCACTTCCTCACAATGAATGTAATTGTGTGCTGTAGTCATGTACTAGTAAATATAAACATTAAAAAAGAAAGCTGAGGCAATAAACAAAACATCAAGGAAGCTAACCACAATGAACACCTAGTGCTTAATTCTTTTGAGGGGTGGTGTAAAACACTTGCTTCAAGACATTCTGACTAGAGGGGTGAGGAAGCACATGTGATTAGATAACCAATCACTGAGAGACATTGGTATACAGCTGCTGGTGGATGCGATTTCTTCAGCATTTCCAGATGCAGTTACAGTTGTCATGGTTAATTTTGTTTAGATGCAAACATCTGACCGCAGTATTATGTTCATGGTGGGAAATTTAATATCAAAATGTGTTATTCTATCTCAAATGATTTCGTTGATTAAAAATATGTAGGTGGATATTTATGAACACCATTTCAAGACAGTGAAATGCAGCTGTTTCCTAGGGAGTTTCCCTTCCTTTCCACCTCAGCTGTGATCTTTAGAATACAAATCACAGATGATTGCGGACTCCAATTAGTTTTGTGCGTTAGATGTAATGACAATCTTAAATCTCTTACAATCAAGTTGTGATAGCCCACCTAGCAGTGGAAAGAATCAGCTAGGCCACCCTATACTTAACTGTTCTTAGCAGGTCTGTGATATGCTCATCAGGTACTCAAACCAGTTCTCTGAGTCTAGAAAATACAATTAAGGATTTGGAATCAGCCCACAGATAACTCAATTACCATTCCGGTATTTCAGGTTGGGTTCCTCAGGAAGCAGATGCTCGATGGAATTTGGTAAGATGCTTAAAATATTGTCATGTGAATTGTCCCTCACACAAAGGACTTATATCTAGAACATATAAAGGATTGAAAAAAATCAGACCTCCCAGATGGGCATCTGAGATGAATATGCACTTCTCAGCTGAAGAAATACCAGCACTAAATAAATATATGGGAAAATGTTCAACATTGCTTATCATTCAAGAGATGAAAATTAAAACAATGCTGAGATTCCATTTCACTCCAAAAGGAATGGTTATCATCAAGAAATCAACCAATAACAAACGCTGGAGGGGCTGTGGGGGAAAAGGAACCCTTCTCTACTATTTGTGGAGTGTAGATTGGTGCAACCACTGTGGAAATCTGTGTGAAGATTCTTCAAAATCTAGGACTAGAGATTCCATTTAACCAGCTACTCCCTTTCTGGGTATCTTCCCAGAAGAATTAAAAACATCATACCACAGAAATATATGTGCACCCATGTTTATAGCAGCACAGTTTGTAATAGCTAACTCTTGAAAACTACCCAAATGCCCATCAGCCGAGGAATGGTTAAAAGAAGATGTGGTCTTTTTATATGATGGAGTACTAATCAGCCATAAAGAAGGATAAACTTGAGACATTTCTAGGTAAATGGATGCAAATTGAGACCATACTCATAAATGAAGTGAATGATTCATGTGTAAACATCGTATTGTCTCCCTAATGTGAGAAACTGAAAGAGTAAGTAAGTTCCAATATGTACAGTAAATATTATGAAATGGGAAGAAACTGTTCAAAAGGAAAGAGGAACAAGGGTGGGGAAAGAGGGAAAGGAAAGAAGGGAAAAGAAAAGTTAGCTATACTACTAGTGTCTCTTAGCTCATTGAAAAGAAAGGCTTATGCTAATATTGTTTGGAGAATTTTTTTTTTGAGACAGGGTCTCACTCTGCAGTTCAGGCTGGCCTTAAACTCACTATGTAGTCCAGGCTGGTCTTGAACTCACAGTGAGCCTCCTGCCTCAGCCTCCTGAGTGCTGGGATTACATGTGTGTGCCACCATGCCCAGTACTGGAGAATTTTTTATGCCCATGTCTTACACTCTGAGTAACTATTTTAAAGATAACAACATGCAATATATTAACTATTGTTATTCTTCTATTATTTTGTTATGAAATTTTGTTTTATTTTTTCCATTAAAAAATATTGCCATTAGGGCCAATGCTGTGGAAAGAAGGGCAAGCAAGCAAGTTCAGCAGAAAGTGCAATATGGTACAGGCCTTGTGACAACTTTAACTCACTGTATGGGTTGGTGTGAAACACCAGAAGGGCCAGTAGGAAATGTCCCTTCACATTGATTAGTTACTTAATGTTGGAGAACCAACAAACATTGCCAACCAGGGAAGGAGCATGACTTTGGGTGAGATAGCTGCTGCAGCTGAGACAGTACTCAAAGGTTAGGACAGCTGGTGACTGTCCTAGAAACCTCCCTATAGCCATGGTCACAGGCCTTCATTGAAGGAGCATCTGGGAAATGTGTCCTGGTGCCCACCATACCAGAGAAGCAGAACTAACCCATTCTGATGACACAGCCTCAGATTCAAAATGAAGCACTGAAAAAGACTATGAATCATTTCAATACTTTAGGAATAAAATTATATTTTCTGCAGCATCATGTTAAGGTGAATCCTTTGGTCAGCACTTAAAGGGAGGCAACTGGTGATTTTCTATTTCCTCTCACATTTATTAATTTGAATTCTATTGTATGGAAGACCTATATCTTCTTATTTATTCAAACAGTATAGCAATATGGTTGGTTTTTATTTTATTCTATGGGTTATAATCTAGTACTACCAATATTTTCCCATCCATTTACTAGAAGCTCCTTTAAGTTGGCTCCTGTGTGAGAAAGTTTTATCCTTTGTGGAGCACTTGTTCACTTTAGGGCACCACAAAATGTCCCACATTTATCTTGTATTTTTCCCTGCCCTATTTTTCCCTACCAAGTCAACCATTTTCCTGAGGAGTCCTGCTTCCTTTCAGCAAAGGATGATGTTAGAAACTAAGATCTGAGGACTTGGCATTCACTGTTACTTGGGAATATTTTCTTAAAACATAATACCACTATTATTCCCAAAAAATTAACAATTGTTGAATATCACCTAATATCTGATCTGTATAAAATTGCATCAGTTGTCTCAATGTCTTTACAGAGTTGATTTATTTATACTAGGATCCAATCAAGGCTCACAGTTTTTCCTTTACTAGTTTTTTGTTCTAATCTCTGAATTTTTCCACCTCTTTTTCTTTCTTGCCATTTGTTAAGAAACCACATCATTTTTCTTGCAGAACTTCCCACGTTAAGGATTTGGCTGATTGTAACTGGATGGTGTCATTTAACATCTACTGTTTCAGGTTTGATTCTTTTTTTCTTTTTTTGTTTTTGAGACAGGGTCTCGCTCCCTGTTCAGACTGGCCTCAAACACACAGCCATCCTCCTGCCTCAGCCTGAGACTACAGGTGTGTACCATCATATTCAGCTTCAGGTTTGCTTTTTTGGCAAGAAGATTTCATAGTGGAGGCTCTGCAATTTTTATTGCACCACATCAGGAGACCATAATATATAATTCAGCACTTATTAGTTGATGGTTTTATAAAGGAGAACTCTTCCCTGTCAACTATTGTTACTCTGAAATATACAGTATTATGTATAGGAAAGGCAGAACAAAATCTCAATTGTTTCCTTGGCAATCTCTGAGTGACCAAAATCTGTATTGACATCTGTATGTCAATATAAGCCCACGAATTTTAACACTTAGTTTAATCCTTTCCAGCAATTTTTCTTTCTGAGGCTTAAAATTTCCCATATTTGGCCGGTAGGATCATCTTCAAGTTGGCTCCTGTGACATAACCCAAATATTCTTTCATGGCTTCCTTGCTTTCTGGTATGACAGGATATTGTAGGCTTGTCTCCTTCAATTTCTTCCCTAGATGTGAAGTCATCCGTTTTCTCACTGAATCGTGATTCATTTTAGGAGGAAATAGCATTTTGGGGGTTATCGCTACTGGGTTAGTTTTTTTTTTATCATATCCTTGTTTCTTTTAGTTTACATTTTAATTTTTTTAGTACATGTTTGTATTAAATAATGATTACATTCATTGTGGGGAGTTGGTATATGTACACAACATTTTAATTCTTTTATAATCCTCTCACTCTCTTCCCTCCGTACTCTCTCCCTCTACATATTGGTCTCCATCCCATCGTTTCCTATGATCTATCTTCTAGTTTAAAAACATTTCCATGTCTCCTCTTCCAGGAGCTGTCTGGGATTTTCCAGTTGGAGGTCGGGGTGGGTTGCTTCTTAGTTTTCATGACTGTAACACGAGAATGGACTTAGTGAAATCTAATAAATCTATTTTTTATTTTTTAAAAATAAATTTATTTATTTATTTATTTAGCAAGAGAGGTGTCCAACGCACAGGGGTAACCTTCCTTTTTGGAGTCCCCTCAGAACCTCCGGAACCTTTGCTTCACTCTTTGCCTATCCAGGGAAGTTTTAAGCTGTGATACCTACTAACAGGCCAACCAATCAAAGAAGAGCTTGGGTTTGGGGACCTGCGCGAGGAGATCAAGTGGGTGGGGCGGAGCAAGCGGAGGAGGCGGGGCTGAGGCCGAGGCGGAAGTCGTGGGCGGGAGGCCCCGCCTGGTGGCCAGAGGTTAGTTCCGATTCCCAGCTCGCGAGCTACTGGCTGTCCGTCCCTGTCAGCTCTCCGACCTGACTTTTGATCTCACGTGTGTTTCCAGGTGTCTGCCGCCACTTTCCGGCCAGCTGTACGGTCTTCTCGGGGTTTGTCTTCGTGTCTTCAGTTAACGTCTCTTCCTGTTCCTCTCAGCTGTCACGGTCTCCCCAGCCCTGGTGCCGGTTATTCTGCAGAGCTTGGGTACCCGAGACCTGAAGACCCTCCCCGGCGCCGATGGAACAGCACCTCGCGCCCAGCTCAGCCTCGAGGAACGCTGGGGACGCAGAGTCCCGCGCAGGTGAGCAGGACAGGCAGACCTCCCCACCGACGGGGCCCTGTGCCTGTGGATACGGGTCAGCTGCACCATTTGCACTTAGGAATGTTTTGAGGGAATGTTGAATCAGAGCCATCCAGTAGGCTAGGTGACAGAGAGAGTATTCTTAGCTATTCTATTTTTGATTATTTCTCTCTAGCCCATGATAAACCTTGGATTGGTTAGGATTGTATGAGAGTAGGAAGTCTCCTGTTACTACAGAAGGGATCTGTGTTTGCAAAAAGACTTGAGCTGGAATTTTTGGATACCTGCTACTTGATGCAGGTTTTGATACTTAGTGGCGTAGACACTAAAAGGAAACTGAAAGCCAGAGTAGTTCAACCCTTAATCTGTCTCTACCTGCCCTAGATGTTTGCTGGTCTCACCTAGAAGATTGGGCTTCCGTAATACGATTGGGCTTTTACAGTAAGAGACACTACAGATCCACTTCTACTTGGAGCAAAGATCTCTGCATGAAGCTAGGTTTTTTCAATATCTGTATCCTCTGTTGGGTGTACACTCTCTGGTAGAATACACTTGGGGGAGAAGATTACCTACTGAGCCCGGGATGCTAAGCAGAAGCATACGGCAAGACCTCTCTGAAGAGAGTCACTTGACACAGGCTGCATAGGATTCCTCCACAGTTTGGAGACTAGGGTTGTTAAATGAGAGTGCGTATAGCTTGCTTTGTGCTGTTGAGACTGATACTCCTTTTGTAGGAAAAAAATTAACATTTGAATACATCAGTGTCTGTTCCCTCCAGACATGGAATGATAGAGAACCTATTTGTAGGCCAGCACTTGGGTCTGGACACATGAGTTGCCTCCTGTCTTGCAGAGGTCGTGGAAGAGGTGACATCATGCTCCTTCAACAGCCCTCTGTTCCAGCAGGAAGACAGGAGGGGGATTACCTACCGGATCCCAGCCCTGCTGTATGTGCCCCCCACCTGCACCTTCCTGGCCTTTGCAGAAAAGCGTTCCTCAAGCAGGGATGAGCATGCTCTCCACCTGGTGCTGAGGCGAGGGTTGAGGACTGGACGCTCGGTACAGGTGATTCATCCTAGACCTTGACCTGGGCTTTACTTTGTCTCTGTAGTGCTTTATGCACTTTTCCTATCAGTGCTGGAACAGCCTTGTGTGGAAGCAGAGGAAAAAACAATGAAAACAGAGGTTTTCACTAAATATTGTATGCCAGCACACAGTGAATCTTCACAACCATTCTGTGTCGAAGGTACTGTTGTCAGTCACATCTTACCTATGAGAAAACTGAGGATCAAAGAGGTTGCTGTTTGCTCAAGGTTGTGCAGTATAATATGGCAGTAGAAGTAGGCTGTAGACTTAGTCTCCTGTCCAAGTACTAACCAGGCCTGACCCTGCTTAGCTTCTGAGATCAGATGAGATGGGGCATGTTCAGGGTGGTATGGCCGTAGAGTTGTAGACTCAGTCTCAAACGTCACATTCAGCTAATATGTGCTCTGCTTTTCATTTCTCTTTCCTTCAGTCCTCATAAGGAAGTAAGCACTGTTAATCCAGTTTTGCTGGTGAGAAATCAGGGTGCTCCAGAAAGTAAATAACTTGTTCAGTACCACATTTAGTGGATAACAGAGAAGAAGTAACTGAAACAACCATATTCTTAGTATTACAAATTACTTTATGTGAATCACATATTATTATCTCCATTTTACAGGAGAAATTGGACCAGATAATTAAAGTGACTTGCTTTGGGCACATAAGTAGTATGTGAGAGAAATGGGATCGGCCACTTGCCCTTATATAGCACATTTTTACTGAAATTTTGGTGGGGAAAAAGTGGTTGCTGCTCTTTGGGCCTGGAAGCTACAGGGTTATTTTAGACCTCATATTTCTTATTGTTACCTTCTTTACTTCCAGAGCTGGCCAAAGTGAAGATCAAATGAGACAATGATTTTGAGAGTCTTGTAAAAAGTATATAGCTGTGTATCTCTCCATCTTTTGGTAATCCCCCTAATCTGCTCTACTTTTCTACTTACAGATACCTGAAATTTCACCATTGAACCTTTATATCCATAACAGAAGCCTTGTTCTGTTATAGTACAAATGTTACTCTGCTGAACTTGAGTTTGCCAGCAATCCCTGTCCTTGATTTTGATGACATTGGCTCACACTTCCCTATAGGAAATTTTGCTACTTTTCAGAATTTTCAGTTTCTGTTCTTTCACCTCAATCTCACTGAGTCTTTGTGGCTTCCCAAGACCAGACTCCTACTAGCAAGCGGCTTCCATACAGGTCCAGCCTTGCAGCCCAGCAGAGCTTGGAATTCTAGCTGTTTCATTATCTCTTGGACAAGTGTTACCTCTGGTCATGTTGCCCTACTTTCTATCCCAGCCGGGGATAGAAAGCTTGGCTGGTAAGCTTGCTCTTTTCTCGCTCTTCTCCCATCCCCTCCCCTCTTTTTTCATTTCCTTTTTTTTTCTTCCTTGCTTCCTTTTATCATATTAAAAAAAAAAATCAGAGCACATCTGTTGTATAACCACATTGTTCAGTAGTGGCATAACCACATTGTTCATAATGTGGTCATAATGTAGTCACAGCTGGGTTTTGTTTTTGTTTTTAATTTCGAAGAGTGTTTCTTGGAAATACGAAGAAAAAAAGATTTTGGTGGATACACAGCAAGAGGGGAGTCTAAAAACAACCAAAAAAACCCAACCCCGCAAAAAAAAACCAACAGAGGGGATTCTAGGTGGAAGTCCAAATTGCCTTCTTTGTCCTGCTCCTGTATGGATAAGTACAGCACAGGAGGGTTTGTAGAATTTTTTAAAAATGATGAAAAAATCTTTTACTTAGTTGGGTACTTGGCTGGATACCCTATATTTCTCAGTTTCTCTGGGTCCAGCCTGGAAGTTAGGGAGGAGCTGCTAAGTTAACATACTTTGGCGGAGAACCTTTTACATAGGAAGAAAGATTCTAGTCTCCATTCTTATCTTAACCTTTAATCTTTTTTCCTTGTGTTTACTTTTACATTTTTAAGCTCAACTTGCTGTTTGTATTAGCTCTTCACTTAGTGCCTGCTATGGGGAAAGGTCCTTATCTCTCCATTCTTATCTTAATTTTTTATCTTTTCTCCTTATGTTTTCTTTTACATTTCTTTTTGTTTTCTTTTTGTGGTGCTGGGGGATTGAATGCAGGGCCTCTCACAGGCCAGGCAAGTGCTCAGCTGCTTGAATTAGTTCTTAATTCAGTGTGTGCTATTTTTTAAAGAAGATTTGTTGGCTTTATCTTAGGTGCACCGTGTTAGAGTCCCTCTTAGGAAGAATTATTTCTAACTGCCATTAGGGAAGATGGGTGAAGATTTATTTCCATCTAGCTGCTTTTTGCTGAGAGGGGTCAGCAGGGAGCTGGGAGAGATTTTCTTCAGAGAGCTAATCTAAGGGGGCCTTTGGTAGAAGTCATATGGGGAGAGCTGCCAGTTATGGACTCTTCACAGAGTCCATCTAGTATACCCCTGTAAGAGGAGTTCTGCACATTCATCATTGGCTCCATCTGCATGACCATCTGAAGTGTGACAGCCTCTACATGAGAAGATACGAGTTTTGCCAAAAGATTAAGAATGTACAGCCCAACATGCACACCAGAAAGAAAAGACAGATTGGGGTGATTAAGGAAAGGAGCCAGGTACTGTGCCACTGAGCTACATCCCCTGCCCTTCTTTTGGTCATATTGAGCCATAATAGTGATAAGTTGTAGGTGTACCTGGAGACTGTCAGCAAGTCAGTGTAGTACTTGGAGCCCCTTTTTTATATCTAGCCTGTATTACTCTTACTCTCTTTATTTATTCTTTTGGTTATACTTTTCTGCTGAGTATTTAGGACCAAGTTAAAGTGAGGCTGTGTTGATTAATTAACCTTTCTCTTCATAGATATCAAAGTCAGTTAAGGCTCCTCTGGGATTACTTTTGGGGCCAAGTACAGACCCTTTTAGCTTGTAAATTTTGTTTGTTTTGTTTTGTTTTTCCAGTGTTACCTGCCAAGAAGGGTCATGGTTTTGATTGACTGTATGGGTTCCCTTGGAAGCATGGGAGACATTTTTCTTTTTAATGGCTCTCCTTTTAGCACAGTGGGCAGTGGTTAACTCCTGTACTGTGGGATGCAACAATCTCTCAAGAGGTTGGGTGACTCACTAGAGTTGGAGGATCCTTTTAGAGGGATGTCCTCATGTCCTGGATCCTAGTTGACTTTAGAGGGCCAGGGCCAAAATATTGGCTGCCCTCTTAATGCAGTTACCTTTTTTTAGCTTTGGTCTTTAAGTCTCAGTTGTTGAATAGCTAGAAGGTCAGTCATCAGTATCAAAGTGGGAGCAGTAGGTGTAACTATCATAATCTTACCTGGATTTTGAGTACTTTGAAATATATAAAGAATGACTGGAGAACTGCTATCTCTTTTATCAATCATGGTTGTCTTAGAAGTCAAATTCCTGTATGTAGAATGTTAACATGTAAGTTACAAAGTCTTACAGGAAAAATTTGAAATCAAGGTCAAACATAGCATCTTACCATAAGAATTATGATGACATTATTATATTACAACCATGAAGTTTTTGTTATTATCTGAAATACATTTGAAATTTTATTATATCAATTGGTTACATTGTCTGATTATAAGATATTAAATGACGGAAGCCCTTATTTAAATTTGTTATCTTGGGGCTGGGGATTTAGCTCAGCGGCAAAAGCGCCTACCTGGCAAGCACAAGGTCGTGAGTTCGGTTCCCGGTACCGGAGAAAAACCAAAAAAAAAAAAAAAAAAAAAAAAAAAATTTGTTATCTTTTAATAAAGTCTTAAATAGAGGATACTTGTTTATAGATATACATTATAGGTTATTAATGTCTAATCTACTCATTAGACATTGTTTGGACTGGATATTGTACAGGTACATCTAACTGTTATATAACAATCACATGAGCATAAGCCTGAAAAGTGTACTATCATAAACAACTTTAGTCTGGAAGTCATCAGACTGATAAGATGTTTTTCTAAGTTTTGTATCTTCTAAGCCTTGTTTATTTGGGAAACACAAATGTATTTAATATATGGTGCCATGAGATTAGCAAAATTAGCATCATAGCTATATAGAAATCTTTATATATATTTAGTTTTTACTCTTAAGGCAAAATTTAGATGCCTTAAACAGGTTTATAGGGCATAGCTATACTGACAAGAATTAAAGAACATCTTTAGACCTTTTACAAGTTTAGGAAAAAGTATCACTATTACCCAGCATACAAGTGTATTTTATTTATATAATAACAGAATGTTTAGTCAAAGCCAATAAATTTAGATTGAGTTTTAAAAGGCAGGACCAAATTTAAAGAGATGTCAAAAATTTTATCATTTTATATGTCTGAGATCTAGATGTAATGTATATTATATAAAAGAACACATTACTTTGTACGAAGCTTACATAATCTTAAATCTATAAACTTAACTTTTTTAAGGATATGTGTTTTTTTATTTTATTAAGTTTATTGGTACAATTAGGTATATAGAATGATCACATTAATTTTAGGGAATTTGTACCTGTATGTAGTATACCTTATTTTTTTTTCTCCTATTCCCCTCTCCTACCTTCAACCCCTCTTTCCTTCCTTATTTACAAAGCTTTGTTTCCATTTGATCCTTCTTTACTCATTTTTTCTTTTCCTTTTCTTGTCCCCTCTCCCTAGTTCCCCTTTCCTTTTGAGGAGTTTCTTCCCATTTCACCATATCTCTTCTACAATTTGGTTCTTATTTATATTTTCAGTTTCTCAAGTTTCTCAGTTTCAGTTTCTCAGTTTCTCCAGTGAGACAATGTGAGATTTACAGGTGTGTTCAGTTTATTTCACTTAAGAATATTGTCTCAAGGTCCATCCATTTACAATAAATGTCTCAAGTTTATCCTTCTTTATGGCAGAATAGTAGAGGTAATAGAGGTCCCATTTGATCCAACTGTTCCCCTTCTTCTGTTTTCCCAAAATTAAAAGCATCATATGACAGCAGTATATGCACACCCATGTTTATAGCCGCACAGTTTGTGATAGCTAAATCTTACTAACTTTAAAGCTTAAGACTGATATATTTCGCATATATGTACATATACATATGTGCATAATATGTGTCTAGTTCCAGATGTATAGGTTGTATCATAAGATAATAAAATAACTGTTCATTTATATACTGTTCATTTATATAACTGTTCATTTATAGCAGTTATATGCTGATTGTTGAAAACATTTTACAAGTCTACACTTATAGCATAGTTATAACACATATAGTTATAGCAGTTATATGCTGATTGTTGAAAACATTTTACAAGTCTACACTTAAATAATCTTTAACTCTTAAAACTCAGTTGCTTGACTATATTTTTTTTTGTACCGGAAATCAAACTCAGGACCTTGTGCTTGCTAAGCAGGTGCTTTTGCTGCTGAGCTATATCCCCAGCCCTTAAAACTCAATTGCTTAAGTAATCAAAAGCATTTTAATATCTTAAGAAAACCTTATTGTTTTAGACATAGGAAACAAATCTTTTAATTATAGCCAATTTAATTATACATATATATGTATATATAATAATTTTTTAATAACATTTGTTGGGGTGGGGCTCAATATGACTCTGGAGGAAAACTGGAGAAGCTGCCCATCAGTGGAAAACACTTATGGTAATTGGTTTGGGCAGCCGCTTTTCCAGCCACCAATGGGAATTCTGTGTAGTAGTTCCTTAGGCACAAGGGCCCTCACATATTTATTTAACAATTACTTTAAATGACTCATGAGAACAAAACCATAGCAGTTAACACTTTAAAGCTGTATAGGTTGTCTTTAACCTAGGAAAACTCTGAAGTTATTATACACAGAAAACAATAGACAGTGTTTTAAAAATTTTATCTTCATTCACTAACAACCTGACTAAAAAAATGTCAGTAGGTTTTAAAGACATTTTTACTCTTCTCTTATCAACCAATTTAATTTTTTTGAGACAGGGTCTTGCTGTGTAATTCAGGGTGGCCTTTAACTCACTATGTAGCCCAGGCTGGGTGATCCTCCTGCCTCAGCCTCCCAAGTGCTGGGATTATACAGGCGTGCACCACCACACCTGATGACAACCAGTTTAAATCAGCTTATTGTTAAGCCATATGAACAAAAAAATTAGAGCTAAAACACTATCATGAGTGTCTATTTCTGTATAAGCCAATTTGAAAGTTAACACATAGAAACAATTCTGGAAAAGATGACCACATTTATATTCGTACAGCAAAGATGGCTGTGGTTGTATTTGTCACCCGATACTAGTTCACAAACAAAAGCAAAATTTTGCCAAATGCTTCTGTTTGTGAGCCAGACTGTTTACAAACAAAAGCATTCATACACCAAGGCACCACTGTATGTGTGTGTGTGTGTGTGTATATATATATATAAAACAATATTATCAAACTTCATGATTTTGCCAATTAAATGCTGTTACAGTTTAACATGCATTTTTTAATGTGTGAGGTGTTTTTTCTTTTTCTATGTTTTTTTCCTGTGTGTCTGATCCTGCCTTTGCCCAATTTCTTCAGTTTTTAAAATATATTAAGGAAAAAGAAAAGAAGAACAATAACTAAGAAAAAAGAAACAAAAAATAAAACTAAAAAATATTTAAGGAGATTAGGCTTTTCTTTGTAACATGTCTGGGTGGACAATATCAAATTGTATCTTTACAACAACTTCTCTGTGATGATGTCAGTGGGCCAGTGATGTGATGCCCTTTGGCTCATTAACAGTAACTCACAAATTTCTAACTCCAGTGAGACCTCTCGTCTGTGTTCTAAACCAGTATATTTAGTTGTCTACTGAACATCACTACTTGGAGGCCTCAGATGGACTTCCAAAGGCATATACCCAAAGTGAATTAAATTTTTCACTTAACTGATCAAGAAGTTGAAGTAGTGTAAGGTTATGTAAGTGGTCCGTTGTCTCCCAGTAGTGATAAAGGCAGGATTTGAACTGGGTATCTCTTGACTAAACGTTTGTACTTTTAATAGCATCGTTTTTAATTGCTTTACAAGGCTTTTTTTTTTTTTTTTTTTTTTTTCTGGTACCAGGAATCAAACTCACTACCTTGCGCTTGCCAAGCAGGCGCTGTGCCACTGAGCTAAATCCCCAGCCCCCTAATTGCTTTACAAGGCTAGTACAGGCAGGAGAAAAATCTTTGTCCTCAGTTTTCCTGTATTGGCCTAAAACTTAATTTGCTTGCCTTGCTTTTCTTGATCTTTCTTTTTTTTTGAAATTTTACTTAGCTACTTTTATGTGGCAGGCAGTGGAGATACAATATTAGTATAATTTGGTTTCTGCTCTCAAAAGGGTCATAGTCTTAAGACAGACAGGTACTCAAAAAAATTGCAATGCTATTTAATTCCTGTGTCTTTTTAGGGAAAGAGAGAGGGTTTCATAAAAAGCTTCGGAAAGGAGATGACTTTAGAGTTAGGGAATGATTTGGAAGTTCAGGTGAAGTGAAGAACATTCTAGATAGAGGGGCAGCGTGTACAATAGGTAGTGTTGCTTCTTTCCAGCTTTGTAAGGGATTGTCATATTTGAAAATTTAGTGAATACTTGAGCTTTATAATTTTATAGTTATCAATATTATTTATGTCTTATCTATGAAAAATATGAATGCTTTTAATAAGTTTGATGTCTTCCTGTTAGAAGCTCATGCCTATCCTTCTGTCCCTTCCTTTTTTCTTTCTCCTCTCTCCTTGTCTAGTGGGGACCCATGAAGTCACTGATGGAAGCTACGTTACCTGGGCATCGGACCATGAACCCCTGTCCTGTGTGGGAGCAGAAGAGTGGCTGTGTGTACCTGTTCTTCATCTGTGTCCAGAACCATGTCACTGAGTGTCACCAGATTCTGACAGGCAGGAATGCTGCCCGCCTCTGCTTCATTTGCAGCCAGGATGCTGGGTGCTCATGGAGTGAAGTGAGAGACTTGACTGAGGAGGTCATTGGTCCAGAGATAAAGCACTGGGCCACATTTGCGGTGGGCCCTGGTCATGGCATCCAGCTGCAGTCAGGGAGGCTGATCATCCCTGCGTATGCCTACTCCTTCTCTCACCGGCTCTTTTGCTTCCCGCTGGCGTGCAGAGTCAGACCTCATTCCCTGATGATCTACAGTGATGACTTAGGGGTCACGTGGCACCATGGAAGGTTCATTCAGCCCCTGGTCACAGTGGAGTGCCAAGTGGCAGAGGTGACCAAGACAGCTGGTCACTCTGTGCTGTACTGTAGTGCCCGGACAACAAACAGGCACCGGGCAGAGGCGCTCAGCAGTGATTGTGGTGAATACTTCGAGGTACAGGCCCTGAGCCAACAGCTTTGTGAGCCCCCACGTGGTTGCCAAGGCAGTGTAGTGAGTTTCCGGCCCCTGGTGATCCCACATAGAAGTCAGAACTTTAGTGACAAAAATGTCCCCTCCATTCAGGAGAGCCCTCTCCTGGACAATTCATTGAAACTGGCGGAAGGGGCTGGAACACCATCAGAAACATGGCTCTTGTACTCACACCCAGTCAGTAAGAAACAGAGAGTTGACCTGGGCATCTACCTCAGTCAGAACCCCCTGGAGACTACCTGTTGGTCTCCCCCCTGGGTCTTACACCATGGGCCTTCTGGCTACTCTGATCTGGCTGCTCTGGGGGAAGAGGGCTTGTTTGCGTGTTTGTTTGAGTGTGGGACCAAGGAGGAGTGTGAGCAAATTGCCTTCCGCCTGTTTACAGACCAAGAGATTCTGAGCTGTGTGAAGGAGGACTGACTAGCCTTTGTATGAACCTGAGCCAACTCAAGACTAAATAATTGGCTGAGGGACCCAACTTTCCGTAGAAGGGACAGCAGAGGTTACTGATGTCTATAGAAAATGCAAAATTTAATGTTTTGCTTCATAACATTTTTCACTTCAAAGAACAAAATGAAAATTTTGCTATAGCTGTTGAATATGAAGATCACTAAACTGGAAGTTGTAAAACCAAGGTGTCACCCTGGGTCTGCCATTGGCCTGCTTTCGGACCTTGGACATACCACAGGAACTTTCTGGGTCTCAGTCTCCATCTGTAGAATGAGAGGAGTGGTTCTGTGATTTCTTGTCTTCCCGTTACCATGAGAGGCAGAGGGTCTGCATGCTTCATGCTGAAGAAGCCCTGCTGCAGAAAGTACTCCTATTGTCAAGTGGAAATCAGAGGATTTCTCTTTTCAAATGGCTCCTCACCTAGATATGAAGTTACATATAGGCGTCAAGGCAAGAGCCGGATGGTTTGTTCATTTTTTTTTTTTTTTCTGGTACCAGGAATCGAACTCATGACCTCACACTTGCCAGGCAGGCGCTGTGCCACTGAGCTAAATCCCCAGCCCAGTTTGTTCATTTTTAATAACAAAACCATCCTTTCCCTCCTAATCCTGCACTGAGCTCTGCAGGCTTTCTGTCCAAGAGAAATTGAACAAGACAGCAGTGTCGTGAAGTCATTTACCTTCTCCAGCTTTGCAGTTCTGCTCAGCCTTCCCTCTTCATCCAGAAAACAACATTTCCTACGGAGAAAAATGAGGAACTCAATGCCAGCAGCGCTTGACAATGGTGATTATTGCTTCTGATGCCAGTACCTCTGAAAGATGAGCCTAAAATTCATTTAACCATTAAAGATGGTCTCTGGTGGGAAAAAAGACATAGGTTAAAGCTTTAAAACGTTGGATAAGCTGGGCGTGGTAGGGTTTGCCTATAATCTAGCAACTTGAGAGGCTGAGGAAGGAGGATCTCTGGAGTCTAGGAAGTCAAGGCCAGCCTGGGAAATATAAATGAGACCCTATCTTTAAGACAGATCTACCAAAAAAAAAGGACAAAACTCTCATGGTATCTGCCCCTAGGAACTCATAGTTATGGAGCAAGGGGAGGGATAAAATTTGAGGGGAAATGCTGCTGGTGGATACTTTATAGATGTAGGGCTGTAAGGTGGGCTGATAGTAGCTCCTGATATCATTGCTTTAGCATTTTAGTGCACATGCAGTCATCTGTCGAAGCTGCTTGGTTTCCGCCAAGTTTGTTTCACTCAGAATGTTGGTATAGCCCAGCTATTCCTTTACCCATGAGGTTGGTCTTCACCATTAGGAAGGTCTTTGGACTGCCAGACCTCTGAATTGGGGCCATATGTCTGGATGTACTGGAATCACATGTACTACATATGAAGTAAGGACACCTCTCCATCTGGTAGCTTTGAGGCCGAACTTAGCCAGTGCTGGGGACACAGGATGGCAGGTTGCTATTGTAACAGGAATTCTAACATGAGAAATTTATTTTGTTGCTATTGTTACCCTGTTTTAGGAAGATGATGCCTTAAATTGGTATCAGCTAGGCATATTTAGTACTGGATAAGACTGTGGAGAGTAAGCTTTGCCATGGAATGTAGCTCAAGGCTACGGTTGCAGTTACACCAGTCACATGGTCCTGTAGAATGAAAATAGAGATTAACTTTGTCTACTTCAACATATTGTTTAAGAGCCTGGCTTAGAGTGGCTTAAAAAAATTCCTTTAGCCTCTGATACTTCTGCTAGAGTAACTTTCCTAAACAAAGTTACGGTCATTCATTCACTCATGTACACCTCTGTCTCACTATTTCTTGAGTGGCTGTGCATAATGCAGGGTACATTCTGCTGCTCTTTGTGGATTCAAAATTGTGGCTCACCATTGCTCATTAGAGTATGTTTCTATTTGGCCTGACATACAGGACCATCTAGTTTTTGGGTAAAAGAATGCATAAATCCTTATATGAAGCCCAGTGTCATAGAAGACTTCTGTCAAATTAGCGAGTGAGGCATGGCAGGGGTCTGGGAGTGGGCTGGGTTGGTGGTACACGGAAGGATTGGGGAAGAAGAGGATTAAAAGGGTATCCCTCTCCTCAGAGGTAGAAACTCCATGGTCAGCAAAACTTTCCTGCGCACCATACCCTTAACTAGACAGGAATGGGAAGTTGGCTGAGGTTATAATCAGGGATAAAGGATGAAAAGATGAGACTATCAAGACATCTTTAGGATTATCCAAGAAGATACTTGAAGTATCTGGATGTTCTGGAATCACATGTACTACATACGAAGTAAGGACGCCTCTCCATCTGGTAGCTTTGAGGCAGAACTTAGCCAGTGCTGGGGACACAGGATGGCAGGTTGCTAACCAAGGGCTGTAAGCCTTGGTTACATACATGTGTGAGCCAGAGATGTGTAATACAGAATTTGTAGATGACCCATCTCTATGTTGCCCTCTCTTACTCCTTCCCTCTTGCCTCATGTTTGTTTTTCTGTAACTAGCAGTGGAACTCTTAACTGAGAAAGAGCCTATGTGCTTATTTCAGGAACCACACACACACAAAAAGAGTTGGGACATAGGAAATCCAGACTCAACTAGAGACAAGAGCAAGAGCGGGTAATGGCAGCTGTGATGAAAAACAGAGCAGATTTGAGTCCTGGAACCTTTAGGAAGACAGACATGAGGCCAAGGCTAGAGGGTGCTGGGTGGTAGCTGCTGTGAAGAAGAAATGGCAACAGGTTGGAGCTGTTCCTGAAACCCATGGGAAGGGAGAGAGACCTCCATAGGCTTGCAGCCTGGCCTGCAGAGGAGGTCCCTCCCAACCCTGTACCTTTAAGCTGACTCAACCTGTCCACATTCCAAGCTTCCAGCAATGAGAGGTGTAGGCACTGCAGCTCTGTGCCAGTCATCTAATGCCTGCATTGCCTTGGGACCAATCTCATGCTGTTAGTACCCTCACTGAGTCCATTTTAACCATCCTCGGGTTGATAGTGTGGAAAAGTTAGGGACACTGTGAAGAATAAGAGAAAGAGAAAAACAAGAAATAAAGAGAAAGCAAAAAGGAGACCTTTATCTTTAGGTATGAATGGAAGACCACATAGGCTATAGTCCTTTGTTCTCAGAAGTCCCCTACCCTGTCTTCTTGACTCAGAATGGATCCATTCAGCACATAAAGCCTACCACCGGGAGAATAGTGCAGCAAGGGGGAGTGACCCACCCGCTCAAACTGCAGATCACTGGGCTTCCCCAGTGATAAAAACTAGCTTTTTAGAGCTAGTTAAGGAGGCATGGAGAAGATTTTGCATCCCCTGGCATAGGTAAGAGATTTTTCATTCTTGTCTGTTGAGTAGGTCAGCTTGAGGTTGTAGGATGTGATACCTCTGCTTTGGCCAGATCCAGCTGCTTACTCTTTACAGTAGGGTGTAAGTTTTCCCCACTGCGTGATTCAAAGATACATGTCATCCACCTCTGTACTGCCTAAGCCTTGATCCTTTACATAGGCTATGTACCGTTATCAGTGCTGTGCCCTGTTAGGCCTCTGTTAAGCTCACACTCCTTGAGGGTCACATCTCACTGACTTCTCTGCTTTTTACCTTGAATCAATGATTTATCTATAAATAAATGTTTTTTCTGTCGCATGTTGAATTATTGAAGGTAAGGATTGTCTGATTCCTCTCTTTAGCCAGTACAGAGCCTAGAAGAGTAGAGATCAAGAAAGATGATGAATGGGTGAGTCAAGAACTCTTGGCTTTTTAGAGCTAGTTAAGGAGGCATGGAGAAGATTTTGCATCCCCTGATGCTTTTTACAGCATTTGTGCTAAGTATTCTTTGTGCTGGCCTGGTTAGTCACACTACTTTTTGGAAATGGGGTTTTCTGTGGTCCTGCCTGGGTAGCCTAAGACCCAAAGCCTGAGCCTAAAGCCAAACTGTGATATGGAGTTCTTACTTCACTTGTATTTCCCCTCTGTCCCCAGTGGGATTAACTATAACTGCCACTTCAGGGCTCCAAGGTGCCAAGACTCAGCATGGTCTGAGTGTGTCTCAGCTCTGTGATGCAAACTACAAGAAATACTCCGTGCACTGTAAAGACTACTTTCACTCTTAGAAACAAGAATGATGAATAAAGAGCTTAATTCTGCTGACGACTGGTTTTTTTGTTAAGGTAACTTAGATGATTATCATCCTATTATATAGTTTGTGCTGAATTTCTTTTACAGAATGAATTCAAGACAATTTCTTATGGTAAGTACTTTTACTTCCAGAAAGCTTCAAAAATAACCCTTTATACTTCTACATGTTTTCCTTTGGACATACCCGTTAAGGGAAGCAGGAAAGGAATTGCCATGACTGGTTTGATAGCGTGCTGGTACACATAGCTTTGAAGTGGAGGAGCCAGGGTGCACAGCATCACCACTGACTCCAGCTCCAGTGACTGTCACTGCATGTCTTAGGCTTTTCAAACACCTTGAACTTACCCTCATAGTGTAACTGAAGAAGTTTCCCCAAAGTGAAAATTTAAAAACTTAATATTTAAACAACAAATTTGATTTAACTCCCAATTTTAATCCAACTTTCTATTCTATTTATTCTTTCAGGGTGCTGGATTTGACCAAATATTTTAGGACAACTCTTTATGTTTTGTTAGCAGGTCAATCTGTTTTCTTAAATTCATTTTCAAGAAGTTTCAAATGGGCATGTCTTCTGTCAACATTGAGAATCCCAAAACAATAAGAATAAAAAAGTTCATAGAACTCAGAAAAAAAACAACAAAACAAAACAAAAAAAAAATACAACTGCTCAGGCTGGGCATGATGACACATCCCTGTAATCCCAGGACTCCTGAGGCTGAGGCAGAAGGATCATTGTGAGTTTGAGACCAGCCTGGGCTACAAAATGAGCTCAAGTCCAGCCTGAACTTCATAGCAAGACCCTGTCTCAAAAAAGACAAAAACAAAAAACAAAAACCCCCAAAGAATTGCTCATTTACATCTTAAAATAGTTTTATAATAATTACATAAACATTTAAAATTCTAGATTTATTTTGCAGTTTTATTAGATTGTTTAATGACTGGGGTGTTCATGGTGAACTTACGACACACGTACTGCAGTGGGCTGTTTGTCATCACTGAAAGCTCTAAAAGGTTTTCCATAACTGCTCTAGGGGGATTTGGGTTTGAGAGAAATATTTAAGGCTACTAGATCAAGTTTAGTGTTCAATTTATTAAACTCACATTGAGGCAGGAGATTAGGGTTTAGCAAACTTTCTGGAAGGTGGGTGTGAGACCTATTGATTACAAAGTTCCAGGATACATGCACAGAATAGTTCCCAAAGCTCTGTACATGGAACAGAGAGTCTTACTTTCAGTTCTCTGGAGAACTCAAGCAGGTTTTTAATAGGATGGCCTAGATATCAGCCTAAGGAGTAGAAGATATAAAAGATGGCCACCATTGAACTCTTGGCCACTATGCTCTTTCTTTCAGAGCGGTCTGTTATCATCCTTTAGAATGTACTTTCAGTTGGTACAAACTCACTCTGGAAAGCATGTTTCTTTTCTTTTCATAGCTTTAATAAATGTAAAACCTCATTACCTTTTGTGCTTGTCTTGACCAATTCTTTATTTAGGAAAGAACCTAGAAACTACCTCTAGAAGGAGACTGTAGCACCCCAAAGCCCAGTAACAATATTCAATAAAACTTTAAAACCTCTTAACTTTTAAACAATAACACTTTGATTAAATTACCTTAAACACCAATTACAAATTTAGTAGAGCTGATTCTTTTGGATTTTTATTAACACCATAAATAGTAGATAAAACATAGTCCAATTGCTATGAAACAGCCTGATATCAAAATGGAATACAAAAGAGCTGATCCTTCCTAGGAATTTAATAATAGCAATACCAAAAGAAAAAAGACCACTGAGGATGGCACTCCACAGCAGATAGCCACCTGAGCGAACTACAGGCTTGATGATTTTGAGTAACCTTCTGACTTTGCCCCAGAATGTTTCTCCCTTACTACGAAGAATGACCCAATCTGATTATAGAAGACACTGCGAGATTGGCAGTGATTTAGTTTGACTTATCTCTTGTCTTCTGTCCATCACAAGGCCAGTATATTACAGTAAAGAAGGGTGTGAGATGAATAACATTTTTAAAGTGCCTACTGTATGCTTTGAATTATGCATTCACTTAATTCAACAACTGCTTTAGAGATAGGAAATCTAGATTCAACAACGTTACATGATATATTCCAATGTCACACAAATAGTAAGTGATGAAGACAGATCTGATTCCAAATTTGTGTTTTTGTTATCCAGAAAAGAAGAGGTAGAAATAAGGTGATGCTTATCTTGCAGCTTTGTGTGCGGCCCTTGGTACATTAGGAGCATTCAGCAGCTGGTGAGAGGCTTATGATGATCCCTGTAATAATGTGTCTCACCAGTTACCTCTCAAGCCAAAGGTCTTATCTTTGTATTTCATCCAATAGAACTGCATTAGTTTTTGTCCTTGGAAGGCCGCAGTGGAATTACTTTCTAATGCCCATAGCCTTCGGAGCAGCTGCCTTCCAAACATAGATTTTGTTGTCATTAACTAGGAATAGAATGAGAAATGAGAGCATGGATTCCCTTAAAGGGTAAACAGAACGTGATAGCAGATGAAGCTGACTTAGTGCTAAGTAGGAAGCACAGGGACCTGCAGGCAAAGGCGGCCCTCTGAGCCACAGGTTGGAGACAGATTTTTGTTTTGGCTCTCAGCCAGCTATGTTGTGCTGCCTCTGCCTTTCCCCACTGAGCCAGTCTCTAGAACTGCACCCAGTGGTCTAGCCTGAGTTCCCCACGTAATGTGAACCGTTCTCCACACATTCTCACTAATCCTCACAACAGCCAGAGAAGCAAGGTGTGATTGTTCCCATACCGTAGGAAAGGAAACAATACCGGAAATGCCGAGTGACTTGGGCAAATACCTTTATAGTGTCTTCACTTGTGAAAAGTAGGACAATAAAAGTGTCTCAAAGGATTGTTGGACAAAGTGAGGTCACGTTTAACCTTAGATAAAAGTTGAAGATACTTGGCACATAGTAGATATCTAGAGGATGGGAGCTGCTATGATTATTACTTTTTCCTGTAGTAATCACATTATCTGTCACATGTGCCCAGTGTACACGATGGTCCGAATGTGTGTGTTTCCTACATTCATGTGTTGAAATCCAACATCCCAGGTGTTAGTATTAAAAGGTAGAGGACCTTTGGGAGGCAGTGAGCTCATGAAACCTTCCCCTCATTAATGGGATTAGTTCCCTAATTATAAAAGATCTAAGGGAGTTTGTTAACTTCTTTGCCTTTAAGCCACGCAAGGTGTTATCTGCGCAGTGGAAACCAACCCTTCAGCAAACATTCACTGGTTATCAAATCTGGCCTTGACCATGGACTTCCCAGCCTCTAGAACTGTGAGAAATGAATTTCTGAGAATAAATTACACAGTCTCAAGTATTTTGTTATAGAAGTCTAAACTAAGATATTGTATTAGCAGTACATTTTAAACTTATATACACATAGGAATCATCTATAGAATGTTTTTTTAAAAAATGGTTTCTAGCCCCTCATCTTCCCTCAAACCTCCTTCTGCCCTGAGAACCTGATTCACTAGGTCTAAGGTTGAGCCTGAGGATTTGCATTTCTAACAAGCTGTTAAGTAAGGCTGAGGCTACAGGTCTGTGGATCCCTCTGTGAGTTACAAATAATACTCGTCTCTCCATCTATGCCCCATCTACCTCCTACTCATACTTCTGTTCACTTCATGAGGTAGGAGCAAAGCTTGTTGTACTAGTGTCTGTGTGGAGCCAAGCTTCATTTCCCAAATAGAAGTCTAACCTAGGTCCCTAGTTTGCCAGCCAGCTCTATCCTTCCTGGGTCAGAAATTCAGCTTTGCCACGGCATGGTGATTGCCTGGGATTTGTACTGAAATCCTCCAAAATTGTGAACTCAAAGGTGGGGCCTAGGCTGGGAGACCCTTCCCCTTCTTGATCTCAGTTATCTGATTTGAGATGTCATGGCATCAAAGTGACCCAGAGGATGATCCCCGGTAGCCCAAAGTAAAGTGTACCTGAATTCAGGGCGGTTCCACTAAGCAGGCCCAGGTTGGAGCTGAGGAAGACCTGCTGCTCTGCTACTCCAGTAAAGCAGGACCATACCCTGCTCTTTGTTGTGACTGGGAAACCTTTCTGGAAGACTGGTCTGAGCACTCCAGCTTGGCGTCTGCTGTTCTGTCAATATTATGGATCCCCAGATGAGCACATTTGGCTGGAGTGCCAAGACGAGACATCAAAGCTTCCAAAGGTCAGCATGGCGGTGGCAGTAGAGACAGTGAAGGAAGAGGTGAGCGGGGAGGGTGGATCTGGAGGCAGAGCCTGTGTTGCCTGCTCTCCCCGTCAAGTAAAGATGCTCCCTTGCAGCTCTGGGATGCAGTGGGGAGGGGGCTTGCAGGTAGGCGGTCCATGATTGTTTCCCAAGCCAGTGAGGATTCCTGTACTTCAAGAGTTCCAGTGGGAGGGCACAAGCTTTGTACCAAGGCCACAGGCAGAGTCGGGCAGCTCCTCATAGATTTACCAGAGCTGCAGACACAGGTATAGCTTCTGGAGAGATGGGGCTGCTTCACAAGCTCTGGTCGGTGGCTGTGTTTAGACAGGGCTGCTGCTTTTGGTGCACTGTGCAGAAGCACTTAGTCAAAGGTAAGTGGGGCCTGAACTCCAGGCAAGAATGGAGCTCCCCAAGCCATGCACTTGTAAGGCTGAAAGTGCCCAAAGGGCACCTTTTTCTACAAGGCATGGACTGGGCCATAGGAAACCTTGGTTTGGGGTATCTAAAATGAGATTAATCATGACTGCCTGAGAACTCGGCTGGGGAGTCCACACCCGGCTTCTTTAGAGGGTGCCGGGGCCCCAGATTTGTTCTCCTCCTTGTAATGTCTGACAGAAGTTGACCTGCACCTGAAAATCAGGCTGAGTCTCTCTCACATAGGGCCTTTGGTACACCGGCCCTGAATTGAAGTATGGTGACTCTGGCCCACTTTTGAAAGAGGTTTCTGAACTTTGACTATGGGACTGTTGGTTGGGGTCAGGAATTATCAAAATATACTTTTAG